TCGGCAGTCAGGTCTCTCGTCTCTCTACTCGCATCGCGTCCTTCTCTTATTCGGTCGCTCTGTCTCCTCTCTCTCTATCTCTCCATCTTTTGCTTCTTTCTCTCATCATCTTCTCTCTCTCTTCTGTCTTCCCTTCTCTCTTCTTCTCCCTTTTCTTCTCGTCCCTGCTGCTCTTCTGCTCCCTCTCTCTTACTCTCCCTCGTCTCTTCTTTCTCCTCCCAGCTCATCTCTCTCTCCTATCCTCCTACTTTCTGCTCTCTCACTCACTCACGAGCAGCTTTCACTCTCTCGATCTCGTCTCTTTCTCTTCTTCGTCTATCCCTCTCTCGTCTCTTTCTCTCTCGTCCTCTCTCTACTCGTTCCACTCTGTTCGCGCTCTCTCTCTCTCGTCTCTCACCTCTTCTCTCTGCTCCGTCGTTCACGTTCTCTCTTCTCTCATCGCGGATCGATCTATTGCTTCGTTCTTCGTACGTTCCATGCTCTCTCCTCTCTCTCCTCTCTCCTCTCTCTCTTTCATCTTCTCTGCTCTCCGTCTCTCTACAACTTCTTCTTCTCTCTCTTCTGTCTTCGTCTCTCTCAACTTTCTCGTTAGGGTACTCGTGGCCTCTATCTCATCCTCTCTCTTTTCCTCGCCCATCGCATCTCTCTATCTCTTTTCTTCTCTCTTTCTCATGCCTGTATCTCCCTCTCTTTTCTTCTCCCTCTCTCTCTTCTCGTCAGCGCTCACGTCCCAGTCTGCCGTCATCTACTCTGATTGTCTGTCGTCTCGCTCTCTCTCTCTCGTCTGCTTCAGGGCGTGTCGTCATCTCTCTCTTCTCTCGTCTCTGCTCTCCGCTCGCCGTCTGGAAGTCTCTCTCTCTTCGTCTCTTCTCTCTCTCGTCTCTCTCCACGTCTCTTCGTTTAGAAGAAGGAAGCGTAAGGTAACGATTTAACAGAACGAAACGCTCCACCCACAGTCGCTCTAAGATTTTCCTTCGTTGGTTTAGCAAAATTATCTCTTATTTATCTCCACAATGTCTTCTCCGAAATCGCAATTGAATGACAAAATCCCGCTCTCTCCAGGACTACGTTGGGGACGCGGCCTGGAATTCTAGGAGTACGAGAATGCATGACGTTCCATTATTGTGCGTTAGTAAATCCCGTCCCCGAAGACTGCCGTTTTGTTTTGGAAATATTTGCAGTGATTTTCGAAAAGGTGGAGTTCCCCCTGAGATGCCGTTTTTTTTTTTCTTTCTTTTTTTTTCTCCCTTTTGCACTTTTCTTGTTGAAATGCTTCCGGTAAAGAAGAGAAAAAATGCTATACGGGGATTAATTCGTCTGACACAAAAAGGAGGGGGGAGAGGTGATGTTTTTCCAATGCTGTTTTCAAAATTACCAAATCATAATTTTTTTTTTTTTTTTTTTTTTTTTTTTTTTTTTTTTTTTTTTTTTTTTTTTTTTTTGCAAAGGCCGTCTGCTTCCTGAACGTCCCTTCGGTGATATTTTCGCATTCCATCTCTCTTTATAAGACAGAAGTTCCCTCCGGCATTAGTCGCATCCGCTGGGTCTCTCCGGTAACAGCTGATGTTTCGTCGCAGCGCCTGACCGGGTTTACTTCTGCCTCGCCCGCGTCGCCCTTTGCCGCAGAACCTGGTTTGTTTTCACTCCATTTTAATCTCCTGTTGTGATCATGCCTCTGGCCCTGATGATGACCTAATCTCCGTGACTGGGAAGAAAGAGGGTGTTGACGTTGACCAAAATTCTCCTCCTGTTTCTCTCTTCTCTTTCCTTCCTTCCTTCCTCCTCTCCTCCACTTCCTATCTTCCCCCTCTTTATTTCTCCCTGTTCTTCCTCCTTCTCTCCGTTTCTGTCCTACCTCCTTCGCTCCGCCCCAGCCTAGAAATACCCTCCCCTTCCCTCCCTACCTCCCCCCCCCCGCCCCCTCCTTCCTTCGTCCCTCCCTGTCTCTCCACCTCCCTCGGACACCCTTCCTTCCCCCTCCTTCCCTCTCTTCCCTCCCCTCCCTTCCCTTCCTCCCTCCCTCCCATCCCCCCCCTTTTCCGACGAAGTGAATCGAGCGAAAATAGTGAAGCTCTGATGTTTAACTCTTGTTTCTGCTTCAGTGAAGGACTGCGGAGATTTCCCTCATATCCATCTCCCCCGCAGTGATAAGTGGCCTCGTCTTGTCATGGAGGAAGAAACAGCAGTGCGATTTTTCTGTCAAGTTGCACAATTATTATTTTTTTTTTTTTTTTTTTGCGCCGCAAAGGTATGTTTTTCTCTCTCTCTCGCTCTCTCTCTCTCTCTTCTCTTCTCTCTCTCTCTCTCTCTCTCTCTCTCTCTCTCTCTCTCTCTCTCTCTCTCTCTCTCTCTCTCTCTCTCTCTCTCTCTCTCTCTCTCTCTCTCGTGATTTTAAGTTTTAAATGTTTGTATTCTTGCATGAAAAGCAGATTTAGCGTCGGGGGAATGCCGTAAAATAGTGTA